CGAAGAGCTTTTCTCATGAAATAGCATTCAATTTACGGAAGGTCCCATACCACCAAAATCGGGATAATTAATGGGGAAACAAGAAAAATATGCTCGTGGGACCTTCCATAAATTCAGTGCTGTTTCATGAAAAAAGTTCTTAGAGAGTTCGGAGACGTCTTATTTTGTCCAGAAATCTTTGCTCTATTTGAATAAACTAATGGTAAAAAGTTCAATTATATTTGTACACAAGAAAGTCAATAAATACACAGGAGGTAAGTTTTTTTTGGATCACCCTGTATATAATCTTTAGGTGCATATTTATATGAAAATCTGATAAATTCTAATAACGGTATAAGTGAAAAATTGTTTAACCGTCAAATGTCAATAAGTCCTGATCATCCCTTATTCATATTTTTTTCGTCCGGCACAACTGGACAGCCAAAAGCTGTAGTACATACAAATTTTGCCGTATTAAATTGTGTTGCAAATATTTATCAGCATAGTGGACGGTTTTTGTCAAGATTATGCGTACCTGTGCCAATTTTTCATATATTAGGCGAGGTACATGGTACATTAAGTATTGTGATCGGTCCCGTATGCGTTATTTATCCGACATATTTGCCAAATACATTAGCAACAATGAAGGCAATTGAGGAAGAACAATGTACCGGTATTATTGGTGCAGCAATTATCTATCATGATTTAATTAAACATCCTTTACGTAATGAATTTAATTTAAAATCATTAGAATATTGCGCAATAGCCGGATCACCAATATCAAAAGAATTTTTAGAAACAATTGAAAATGAATTATCAATCAAATATTGTACACAAGCATATGGAACAACTGAAACTGCTGGTTATATAACAAATACAATTTATGCCATTGATTCAAACAATCAACGACAACGTCTAGAATCAATCGGAAAATGTGAAAAATTTTTAGAAATCAAGTTAATCGACGATAAAGATCAAATTGTACCTTTAGGAGAAAAAGGTGAATTACTAATGAGAGGTTATAAAACAATGAAAGGCTATTGGAATGATAATGAAATGACAGCAAAAATAATAACAGAATCCAAATGGTTACACACAGGCGATATAGCGAAAATGGATGAAGATGGTTATTTATACTTTTGTGGACGTAAAAAAGAAATAATAATACGTGGAGGTGTAAACATATATCCATTGGAAATTGAAAAGATTATAGAAGAATATCCTAACATTTTAAAAGCACAAGTATTTGGCATACCCGATGAACGTTATGGGGAAATTGTATGCTCAATGATAGTATTAAAAGAAGAGAAAACAAATATAAATATTAATGAACTGAAACAATTTTTATCAAAACATCTTGCTTATTTTAAAATTCCAAAGCATATTGAAGTTGTTGACAAATTTAATACAACAGCATCACTTGGTAAAGTACAAAAATCTAAACTAGCAAAAGATATGATAAAAATTTTAAAGAGTAAATTATAGCCAACTAAAGAGAACGTATTTATTACAATTAGAATATTTCGGATGTTCTGACATTCTACGATTAATATCCAATATGTAAAAACACGGATAATTGTTTTCTTGAAGTCACTCTGCTCAATTTCTTCCCTGCTTTACTTCACTTTAGTGTCTTCACGATGATTCGAAAAATCTCGGTTGTATCTTATGTGATGATCGAATTATAAGGCGAATAAACCTGAAATTTTAGATTTAGACGTCATGCATCCAACAATCCTTTAGCAGATATTTTTTTAGTTTCAATCTGTAAAACAACTTTGGAAAATTCCAATAAATCTTCCTTTTTCTGATTTTAAGGATAGTCATCCTTTGTTTTATTTTTTACAGAGTCCGTTGTCCTGTATTGTAGACAGCCTCGTAGACAAATGGTTGCAGTCGACATTGTTTTTGTTCGTTTAAGAGGAAGGTCTCTCCCCCTGAACGTTGTCTGATTTTCAAAATTTTCCTCTATATGTTTTAAATCTAAATTCTTTTAAAATTTAAAACTCAAAAAAGTCTAATTTAACTTTTTTCAAAATGTTACCGATAAGTAGCTATTTGTACTCGGTTTTAGGTAAATGGCATTTGTACTATGGATTTCTCAACAGAGCGACCATGGATGTTTTTTGAGTAACTCGAGAACGAAAA